ACAAAGCAAGACCATATCGCCACAAAAAAATTAAAAAATTAGGTGTGGTGGCATGCACCTGTAGACACAGCTACTTGGAAGGCTGAGGCAGGAGGATCCCTTGAGCCCAGGAGTTTGAGGCTACAGAGAGCTATGATCCCACCAACTGCAGTCCAGCCTGGGTGACAGAGAGAATCCATATCTCTAAATAAATAAGTTGCATGTGTGAATCTGTGCAACTTTATCAAAATAATACTTTATCAATAACTATACGACCCAGTAATTCCACTCCTAGGAATTTATCCTACAGGGATATTCTCACAAGTGAGGAATGATATATGCATTATGGATTGCTCACTGCAGCAGTACTTGTAACAGCAAAAAACTGAAAACCATCATTAGGGACTGGTTAATAATAACAAACTTATACAATGGAATACTATGCAGTCACAGAACAGAGGTCTATACCTCGTAGACCTCCGTCCATGTCAGTATATAGAAATATACTTGATTTTTCTTAAAACAAAACAATGAGTTACAAAAAGTGAGGACAAGTGAAAAAAGCAACTTGTATAAGGGTATGCACAGTATGAATCCCATTTATGCAAAAGAAAGAAGAAAAGGTACTTCCATGTTTGGGTTTAGAAAATTTCTGGAAAGACATGTAAGAAACTTACTAATGATTTCTTCTGGGGAGTGAGACAAGGTAGAGAAGACTTCTAAATTTCTATTATGTACCCCCTTTTTTTTGCTTGTTTTTTTTTTTTTTTTTTTTTTAGAGACGGAGTCTCACTCTGTCGCCCAGGCTGGAGTGCAGTGGCCGGATCTCAGCTCACTGCAAGCTCCGCCTCCCGGGTTCACGCCATTCTCCTGCCTCAGCCTCCGGAGTAGCTGGGACTACAGGCGCCCGCCGCCTCGCCCGGCTAGTTTTTTGTATTTTTTAGTAGAGACGGGGTTTCACCGTGTTAGCCAGGATGGTCTCGATCTCCTGACCTCGTGATCCGCCCGTCTCGGCCTCCCAAAGTGCTGGGATTACAGGCTTGAGCCACCGCGCCCGGCCTTGTTTTTGTTTTGAGATGGAATCTCACTCTGTCGCCCAGGCTGGAGTGCATTGGCGTGATCTCGGCTCACTGCAACCTCCGCCTCCCGGGTTCAAGAGATTCTCCTGCCTCAGCCTCCCAAGTAGCTGGGTTTACAGGCACCTGCCACCACGCCAAGCTAATTTTTTTTTTTTATTTTTAGTAGAGATGGGAGTTTCACCATGTTGGCCAAGTTGGTCTTGAACGCCTGAGCTCAGGCGATCTGCCCACCTCGGCCTCCCAAAGTGCTGGGATTACAGGCGTGAGCTACCACACCCGGTGCCTCCCCTCCTTTTTTTTTTTCTATGAGACGTAGTCTTGCTCTGTAGCCCAGGCTGGAGTGCACTGGCGCGATCTCGGCTCACTGCAAGCTCCGCCTTCTGGGCTCACGCCATTCTCCTGCCTCAGCCTCCCCAGTAGCTGGGACTACAAGCGCTCACCACCACACCTGGCTAATTTTTTGTATTTTTAGTAGAGACAGGGTTTCACTGTGTTAGCCAGGATGGTCTCGATCTCCTGATCTTGTGATCCGCCTGCCTCAGCCTCCCAAAGTGCTGGG